GTCGTCAATCCATTTACTCCGGGAATGGCTCCCCAAAACAACTGGTCTGTCTCGGAGTAAAATATCGGATTGTTAGAGCTGCGGTCAGGCACACGAAATAACCCACTTTCAATGCACCTTCCAACTGGATCTCGCCAGCTCACACAGTAAAATCCAGTTGGAAAGTGCACTGAAAGTGGATTATTTTGTGCGTGTATGACCATATTCCTGGGGGGAGGGGGGATCCGCGTGTTTGCTGAAGTACCGCCTCCTCCTCAGAAACAGGGGATAGAGATTGCAAAATAGCCCTCTGATTTCCTCGTACAGAAGCGCGTTCTATAGGCGCGTGAGCCTGCGGGGTTTCCCGGGTTCACGGGGCGCTTTGGCCCGATGAAGAATCCCGTGCCACCGGCAGCCGGCCGTCCCTCTATCCCAGCAGAAGTTCGAGATGTCACCTTAACAGTATTGTTATCTCCCCCCCCCCTTCACTTTATTCTCTACTGGAATTCTCTGCTGAAGCTGGAAATGTCTACACCAAGAGCATGGAACCATGTCTTGAAGAAAATTGTAAAACCATAATAAATTTGTTCAGTTAAAAACAGACACACAGCCGAACCCCCCTGGAAATAAATTGAGAGAGCATTTGGATCAGTTTCTGCGCCTTCCCATCCCTATAATGTTATTGCACGCAAGCAAACGCTGCCCCGAACAAACCTTCCCGTTAATAAACTGCTTATGGATCATCCATTCTATTCCCACCGACTCTCGTAATTTCCTCGCCGCCGCTCATATAATTCCTTCCGGATTTCTATGCCCTTGAAACCACCGCTTGCCAATTTCGTGGTGACTTAACTGGATCCTGCTTCCAAAAACCCACGGGGGGGGGTCACCTCATGGGATCCTGTGCACATTTACTCAGGAGTAAGCCCTACTGAGCTCGGTGGGACTTGCTCCCAGGTAGGTGTGCCTGGAACCGGCAGCCTTTTGAAAGGTCTGCAGCAGATCCTGGCCGAGAGAAGCAGAAGCTGCGCAGATCCCAGGCGGACTTCCTTCTTCTTGGTTCTGCGCTCCCACCGTTTCCCGGGGGAGTGGGGAGAACAGCAGTCCCGGCACCTGCAGAAAACCTCTTCCCTGGTGGTTGTTAACAACAGGCTGGAGGGTATGAAGCAATAAACCTGCCAAATCTACCTGTGCTTCAGTGACATGTTAGAAATAAAGCCTCACAGGAAACTGGCAGGAGAACGCCACAAAGACTTTCCTTTAGCCTCCCCCCCCCCACGCCAGCACATCTATCCCCCCCCGTATCCCCAGGACCCTTTTTATTCATTGCAGATGAGTAAATGCCCAGCTCCGGTTACGCTCTCGCGTGGTCGAGTGGAACTTTTTGTTAAAAGAATGCGAACAAGGCAAGACGCTTAGAACCCCATTCAGAGTTACTGAACCGACTCCAGGGGCTGGAGAAGTTAAATCCCGGGGGGGGGGGGGGGGGGGGAGCAGCAGCCCACCATCTCTGAAACAGAAACACAATTCAGCCTGTCCCACGAACAAGTTGTACTACATGGGTGGGGGTGGGGGGGGGGAGGGGGGGGAGCAGCAGCCCACCATCTCTGAAACAGAAACACAATTCAGCCTGTCCCACGAACAAGTTGTACTACATGGGTGGGGGTGGGTGGGGATCCGCCATCCAAACACCCACCGGCAACAAACTCTGTTAATCCAGCATACGGTGCAACTAAGAAAAATCACCGCAACCAAGTCTTCGTGAAGGGCTGAAGAGCAAGCAGAAAATACAAGAGGGAGGGGGGGGAGGCAGCTTCTCCGATCCTTCTCAAATGTGAGGCCTTTAACACTTACACACAAATACCCAATCCGGAAGAAAAATCAAATCCTGTGCAACGCACTGTTGGTTTGAGCAAGTTTATCCCTCTTGGCGCAATGTAAGCACGAGAGTCTTCAGACTTGCCGGTTATCTCTACCTTTTGCCAGTGGTCTGATTTTCCTACCTGTCTCCTCTTCCGTAAATCTCCAAAGATCCCATTTCCCCCCTCTTCGGTCGACGCCAGCTTTAAATCACAGGCTGACTTTCAAAGAAAAGAGAGAGCGAGAAAGAGAGAGCGAGAGAGCGGGTGAGAGAAAGCAATAGATCCGCATCCGTGTTGGTTCCAACTTTATGTCTTTCCCCAGTCCATCTTTGCGAGAGATGTGGCGATACCACCTGGATGTTCAGCTATAAATCCCCTTGCAAATAATAAATGGATTAATAATAACAAGGTATGAAGTTCTTTTTATAGAAAAAATGGGAGAGAATTGAAACTAAATGCGGCAGTTAGACAACCATTTTGATAAGAGGATAATTGAGGCGACACTGGTGTATAATTAGAGGATAATTTATGCTATATCCACTTTTATTCCACCTCCCAAAATAAACCCAGTCCATAATCATTACAGGCAAATTGTTCTGAATTTTATAGCTGCAATTTGAACAAAGTAGTGCAGTTAATCATGGGATTTTTTTTTCCTTTTTGTGTATTCCTGATTAGAAGTCTAATTGCCTCCTTTCGGAAAGTAAAAATAACTGCGAAGCGACTCTATTTTTATCATTAACAATGTTGACAATAAAATAAAATCAACTGGAATGGTAATCGAAAGGCAAATTTAGGGCGAAAGCACTTTCCCTCGGGTAGTTTATATAGCAATCAAGATCTGCCAAACCACGAACCGCATCTCTCATTTGCATATATCTGAAAGCCTCACAGGAGCTTCTGTTTGCAACGGGGGAGGGGGGGAGGGAGAGGATGACTCGCCCTCTGAGCAGGATGCTGCCCAACAGACAACCTCGCGCTCGGCCAAAAGGGGATGCCCCGGACGTTCCAACTCTCTCTTCTTCTATAACCTGGGTGGGAAATAGCGCCCGAAGGGAATTGGGGCTGCTGGATCCCACACTTCTCTCTGAGGGACAAGCCTGAACGGTGCTGAGGATCTCATTGCACACACGTGAGCGACAGAATGACAATATGGGGGGAGATGGGTTTTTAGTAAAACAAGCAAGTGACCACTGATGGCATATATAAATGCACGGGGTGCCTGGGGTTGCAAGTGTGTGTGTGTGTGGGGTGCGCTTCTAAGTGCAGCTTTGTTGCAGTGCAAACACACACGCAGGAACAGAAAAGGGGGGGGAGGGAGCGAGGGGAGGGGGGGAGAGCGCGCGCGAGGGAGAAGGCGCTGGCTGCTCCCGGGCTCCCAGCGCTGAAGTTGTGCGGAAGGTGGGCTCGCGCAGACGCCAGTAGAAGTGCCCGGGCTGGTGACGTCAGGGGTTGAGTGACCAATGGGGAGGCGCTGCCCTTTGGAGACGAGCCGTTCGACTTGTGGCGTCTCTCTCCCTCGCGCTGGCTGCTCTCCCCCCTTCCCTGCCTCCACTCTAAAAGCAGGAGCGGAACTTTCAGAGAATCCACCTCTTTTTTAAAAAAGGAGGAGTAGGAGGGGGGAGCAGCCCCCTCTGCCTGCCACCCCGCCGGAGGGGAGGGGGGAGAAGCCACAACAAAACCCGGACCCCCCCCCACCCCCAAAAGACAAGGAGGGAGCCGGGAGGGGGGGAGAGAGAAGAGCCACCCCCGAAAAGCCCGAGCAGCCCCCAGTCGCGAATGGAGGGAAGGAAGAGCGAGAGGAAAAGCCCCGCGAAGGACGCCTGAGGCTGCGGCGCGCTCGGCTGCCGGCCCCCGCCTCGCCTCGCCTCCCCTCCCCGGCCCCCCT